GACCATCCCCAAAGGAGGGCGGGGAGGCGCCCATCGCCTCCAGGCGCAGGGACTTTGGCCTTGGACTTGGGAGGAAGTTCGCCGAGGGGCGGAGCCTGGGAAGGAAGCCACCGGGCCATGGCTTCCAGAGCCAGAGGTAATTTCAAGCTGGCCGGGAGGCGAGTGGAGGGAAGGGGCGATGGTGTCGGCGGAAGCAAGGGAAGTCTGCGGAGGCTGGACTACTGGGGCCGGCCTCAGGGTTCTGGACTGGCAAAAGGTTGGCACTCAAGGTTTGAAGCTGCGAAAGTTGGGGACAGCCTGGGCTGCTAGGAAGCCTAGACTGACACAGTAGTCCACCTTCGCCAAGGTATATAGGGATTCATGATATGCCTCTGGGCTACTAGTGTTCCCCGTTTTCATCTTTATTCCTCCCCATTTAAAAACAATAACCTGGGACCAGCAGATGGCGTCACGGCTATGTCACTGGACTCCCATGTAGTCGACCACGGTTCGAATCCCGGACCCAGAGGCTTAAAACTCACGCCGGGCGCGTGTGCGTGCATGCCCAAGATCCCGAGAGGAGAATAGAGGAGAAGGGGTTGCAGTGTGGCCATCCTCCCTGGGGAGTGATTTCTCGCTTTCTGTCTCGCTTTATGGAGAGCGCATGTGCCCTATAGCAAACCACCCCCCCCAAAACAAAGAAAAACAATAACCCAGGAACAGCAGATAGTGTAATTGTTACGACACTGAACTCCCACGTTTACAACACTAAACTCCCACGTAGTCACTTGGGTTTCAAGTCCCAGACCCAGGAGCTTAAAACTCATGCTCCGTGTGGTGGTTAAGGGCGCTAGACTCCCACAGGGCCGACTGTGGTTCGAGTCCCGGACCTGGCAGCTTTTTTTCTCACTTTCCCTCTCTCTGTCTCTAACTCAATTTATCCCTCTCAAAGAACGAAAGAAATAAATTTAAGTAAAATAATTCTTTTAAAAAGGAAAAAATAAAAATAAAAAAACCTCATGCTGGCGCATGTATATATGCCCAAAATCCCAAGAGGAGAAGGGAGGGCAGTGTGGTCATCCCCCTGGGAGGTGATTTCTCTCTCTCTGATGGGCGCACCTGTCTTATGGCAAAAATCTCTCTAAAAAAATAAAAGTTTTAAAAAAATTTTCCATCACTTGACATTTTAAAAAAATTTGCCAGAGGTGCATACACTCCAGACACACACACACACACACACACACACGGGAGAGAGAGGTGAGGGAAAGTGAGAAATCACCCCCGATGGGACACGGTCACACTGTAATCCCTTTTCTGTTTTGTTTTTTCCTCTCAGGATTTTGGGCACACGTACACACATGCCTGGTGTGATTCTCAAGCTGCAGTGTCTGGAACTTGAATTGCACTTTTGACTCTGAGATCCAACCTCCCTAACCTCCTGGCTACCACTGGTACACCTCAAGCATTTTTGCACCAGTGGGTTAAGGCAAAGATTTTTGTTTTGTTTTTGAGGAAGATTTTTACTATAGGGCACATGTACTTGCTGGAGAAACAGAGAGGCAGAGAGACAGAAGTGGAGAAATCACCCCCAGGGGAGCATGACCTTGCCAAATCACCTTCTCTCGTATTCTCCTCTTGGGATTTTGGGCATACATATACAGGTACCTGGTGTGAGTTTTAAACTACCTGGTCTGGGACTTGAAAGGGGGTTGGCCATTTGGGAGTCCAGTGACATAACTGCTATGCCATCTGCTGTTCCCCAAAGGCAAGGGTTTTTTTTTTAACCTGGGATTCACAAGACCCCATATATAGAATCCAGAAGGCTCACAAATGTGAATGGGAAGAAATATTTTCACCAAACTAACTGAAATTTAATAACTTCTTTATTTGCTCGTATAGGCAATTGACAACAGTTCTGTTAGCACTTGGTGTTGCTCTTGGTCACCGATAGCAGTCATAATTTCATATCACACCACATGCAGCTGCCTAAAAATAGTGCTTATACAGGGCCAGCAGGTGGCATGGTGGTTAAGGGCATTGGACACCCACATGACCTACTGTGGTTTGAGTTCCAGACCTGGCGGCTTATTTTCTTTCTTTCTTTCTTTTTTTTTAATTATTATTATTATTTTTTTGGAGAGGTTTTTGTGATAGGGCGCATGCACTCGCCAGACAGACAGAGAGAGACAGAGAGACAGAAAGCGAGAAATCACCCCCTAGGGGGGATGGCCATGCCACAAACATAGCCATTATGCTAACTGCTGGTACCCCGCGACTTGCTTTCTTACCCCCCCACCTCCGTCCAGTCCCTCTCTGGTCAAATTTAAATAAATAAATAAATAAATCTATCTTTAAAAAAGTATTACTTATATGTATCACTTCTCTGAAATTACAGTAGTTTTAGAACTAATACAAGTAGAACTATGTTGAAAAGTCCATCTGGGGCCAGCAGGTGGTGTAGTGATTAAGGTGCTGGATTTCCACATGGCCAGTCGTGTCTCAGACCCAGTGGCCTGAAAATCATACCAGGTGCATGTGCATGAATGCCCAAAATCCTAGGAAGAGAATGGAGAAGAAGGGATTGAGGTGTGGCCATCATCCCCTGGGAGGCAATTTCTCACTTTCCCTCTGTCTCCAACTGACAGATGTGCATGTGCTATGTCACAGAATCTAAAAAGAAGAAGAAGGCTGGATCCCACATAGCCGACTGCATGGTTGGAGTCCCAGACCTAGATCCAGACGCTTGAGGGACACCCCCAGGTGCGTGTGCATGCATGCCCAAATTCCTAAGAGGAGAATGGAAAAGGGATTGGGGCATGGCCATGCCCCCTGGGGGTACTTTCTCACTTTGTCATTCTTCCCCTCTCTGCCTAGTGAGCACACATACCTTATAACAAAAAAAGCCCAGCTGTCATTGTTACTGTAACACACCTTTTTTTTCCCCCTTAGATTTTTGCTCTACAGCACAAGCACTTGACAGACAAAAAGCAAGAAATCACCCCCTGGGCAGATGGCCAGACTGCAATCCCTTCTCCTCAATTCTCCTCCTGGGATTTTGGCCACACATACATGTCTAGTGGGAGTTTTAAGCAGCCGGGTCCAGGACTCAAATAGCAGTCAACTACATTGGGAGTCCAGTGATGTAACCATTACGCCATCTGTTGGTAATACGCACCTTTTTTTTTTTTTT